CAATTAAGTACAAGCCCCCTTTTTCAGCAAGGGTGTGGGAAGTGTTTGGGTTTGTAGCACATAAGACAAAGCCATGAACTGAACATTCTGCCACCTCAAGAGTTGGGAATTCAAACAAGCATACTTCTTGAAAAACTTTTAATGATATTTACTTTTTAATCTTGCAGCGCTAATACTGAAATATTAGTATGCACCCATGTGATAACACATTTAACTTTCTCATTATTTTCCAGTAGGCAATAATTGCAGGAGTTTTGGTTAAAAGGAAACTCAATAATTACACTGATTACTTGGCGAATTGGAAGAGACTCTGGAGCTGCAGCACACTGTAATATTGTGACAGGAGTTTTTCAATCTTGCAATTATGGTCATTATTCACAAAGGGAAACAATGGATTCCCAAACTGTTGACAAAGAGAAGCAATTTGACGTAAAATAAACACAACAATTATTTTAACTCATTGGGATATATTACAAAAAAAAAATCATTAAAATCTATAGTCCTATAAAGCAACAAATTTTAATAAGTAGGTACAAGCTGAATAAAAGGAAGAGTAATGACTTGGTTAAATCTCAGACAGAAGCAATGCCAAAGTCAGGCACCTCAAATAAAGAATGGGTAGATGGATCTGACATATGGGTGCTTTCTTTAGAGGAAGTCTCTGTTTGGAGTGCAAGTCATTCCAGCTAATGGATAAGTCGTGTCCATTGACAATCACATTAGCCCTTTTTGCTATTTTAGTCAAATAAGGCTAATCATTTAGCGTGCCTAATTTATATAGCTATGAGGGTGGGTTATCAGTACAGATGTACTGAAGCATAAAAGACTTGGGAACACTGACCTATCTGTCAAATTTGATCAAGCCCAGTGAAATTCAATTTGTTAATCTTGCTTCACAATCCTACCCTCATGCACTCTAAACACTAAAACATTTTGTATTGCACTGAGGAGCACAGTCTACAGGGAGACTTAGTTGGACTAATCAGACTCACGTATGAGTCATGTTAACAGTTGGAGCAAGGGATATGACTTTTAGAATTAGAAGGCTAACAGCAGGACTGAAAATCTGCAAATATTTGTAATATATATTTGCATGCCCAGTTCTTACCTTAGAGGGCAAAACCACAATCTAATACTTTAATAATAACTGCAGAAAATAAAAGAAATCAGGAATGTTTTCTCATTAAGCAGAGAGGATGCTGCTTTTGAGTGTGTATCTATATATACATACTCAAGCTTCAAAAATTAACCAGTGCCAGATATACAGCTCTGGACTTCTCACTTCTCTAAAACAGGGATTAATTCTAATTTTGTGCCTAAAGCCAAGGTTTCTGAGGTGAAGAGAAGAGCATAGCTCTGCTAGTACCCACTCAGGTCTCATTCCAAAGCAAACACCTTTTTCATCAGACTAAGTTTACCTCAGTCATGAAGTTTAGCCGTGGTATCTGAATCCAGTACTATCCAGAGATGTCCATGTTTAAGTGAAATGAAACAGAACAAGCTTTTAACAGTTGTTTTGTGGTTTCCAGTTGACTCTAAGAGTGGCTACATTTGTACAGATTATTTTTCCAATATTTGCAAGTTATGGTATACATAAATCTGCAGTTAGAAGAATCTCAGTCCTAGTTTGTTTCATGACACTCATCCAGTCATCCTTCTGAAGGAGTTTTCTACCTTATTTATTCTCTCAGCATATAGGACAAGAGAACATTCCTGTTTTCCAGTCCCTGCCCAAATTGCAGACAGAATTGCAGACTGGATTGCAGACTGGATTGAATTAGAGAGAATCAAACTTGAATAATCATTATGGTCCTCAGTTTGAGACAAATTGGGATAATAACTGTATCCAAGTATAAAATCCAGCAGATACATTTGGTCTTTAAATCATACCAGAATATTCAAGAAATAGTTCTGGAACACAAAGAACATTAGCTAGAGGAGAATGACCACAACAGACTTAACTCAACCTGTCCTAAAATGTCTTATCTATTTCTAGTTATGCAAAATAATAAATAAACGACTAAGATCAACAACCTTCCCAACCAAGGGAGCTTTTACTAAGGAAAGGAATAAAGCACTATGATTCTTTGCTGGTACAGGTAGACATAATTCTGAATCAAATGGGAAGTATTCAATTAACATTGATGAGACTTGACAGATGTACTGCCTGGGAAATATCTTGGTTCTTCTCCCATTAGATATATTTATATAAGCCTGTTGTCAATGTTACGCTGATTATCAGTGGACATTAGACTAAAAATGTAGGTAATGTAAAGCCATAAAGTCAACTTTCTTCAACCTCTTGAAGAGGTTGCCGATCTGCTCATGACCTGCCCGTGCACTGTGGAAACAAACTCCACATACCACTGGCATGCCTTTTTGTTTTATAGCTTCCTCACCAACACCACTACAGAACAGCTGTGAACAGGACCTGCATTCAGCTGATTCACACAGAACAGTTCTTCCAGCATTTGCTTTGCTTCCCTGTATCACTGTCTCCACTCAGTGAGGGGAGTAAAAGTGATGTTGGGAAGCCTAGAACAATTGAGTTTTATTTATCAAAATTAAACCCTAAATTGTAATGGCACAAACACTCTGAAAAAGATGTGTGGAAAAGGAAAAGGATATTAAAAACAACAAACAATATCAAACCTGTCTTCTGACTTCAATTATTTTCCTAGCATGAAACCTAGAAAAAAAGAAGTGTATTTCTTAGGCAGTCATATATTACCATTTAATCATTTATGCTACATATTATGAGGCTATCTTTCCACAGCATGGAAACAACACCCAATATTAAACATCTATTGTCTTACTCATAACTCTGACAGTTCCTCGGGAAAAAAGAAGTGTCTAATCTGAAAATCAATTTAAATGAAACAATTCTTTTTTCTTTCTCAAGTTTTCTGAAAAATGGAATCATCAGTTCATCCATGATATCACCAGTGTGTGCTGAGCTGGGTATAAATCATCAGAGAAGAGAGATACTGAGTTCCATATGTATGCAGGTCATTTGTGGACACAGGTTCCATATCATTATTAAACAGACATGGCCTTCTATGCTACTTTGGTTCCTTTACAGCACTAGCCAGAATCATAACTCAAGGTCTGCAGTGGCTAGAAAAACATTATAGTTCCATAGTTTATGAATTATGGTTTGGGACTTGTTTTACTTGTTGTCTCCTTAGACATTTAAGGGGAGTTCAATGCTTCCCTGTTTATATGTTTTGTGAGGGGTGAAAAAATAAAATCCCAATTAGCTTCTGTTGGTTAAAATCTTGTTTGTATAAGGTTTTGCATTCATAAACAGAAGGGAAAAGGAAATATATATATAAAAATATAAATTTTTTCTTCTTTGTCTAGGACTTGTTCTATCAGTGTGGAAAGTTATTTGTGTAGTTACATCTATCACATATTCACATTTACAATTCTGTGTATCTTAGCAGTCTGTTAAAGCTTACACATTTAGAATGAAGTGAAGACTCATATGTGGATGAGAAAAAAACCCAAACCCCTAGAAATTCTTTAAACTAAAAATCCTGGATAACAACCTGCAGCCTAAACACAGCTAGTCAGATGGTGAGGTTTGAAGTTCCACACAGATGGAGATGGATAGAAAGCTGTAGTAGAAGAGCAGGAAGAAGATGAGGAAGAAGCACAACTGCAGCAACAAGAGGCTGATGTCATCATCTTCATCATTAGGGAAGAAGGCACAGCATGGGTGTCACTATTTAGATTTCTAAAGCTTTACTGAATTCTTTCCCTTTGTGCACAAATGAGAAAACGGCCCTACCCAGACACTCCTTTCAGGAGCTCATATTGAACAGTGTGTGAGCACAAACCCCAGGGCTACTGAGGTCTAACCACAGAAATTAACTTCTCTTCTTGAATGTTGTAATGCTGAGAGAAAATCTTTTAATTGCCTTACCATGAGAGCACCAAAAGACAGCAAATCCTGTCTCGCATCATAAGCCTTTCTAGTGAACAGTTGCGCAAAATACAAGTTCTTAGCTCTGCTTCTGGATATAAATGTCAACAAAAAGATACATATTCTAACTCATTAGGCTGTGAAGATAATTGTACATATTCAAAATAGTTTGCCTGACATCATCAAGAAAATTATGTATATTTATATATATATACACATATTTTTATATACCTATATGGGCTTGCGTGTGCAAAATACAGATATATACTACCCAGCTAACCAGAAGACAGGGTGAAAACTGTTTTTAAAGACATATTGAAATAAAAAACTAACACATACAATATGGAATGTTACTACATGGTTGATGATGTGTTTAAGTTACCATATAGCATTAAAGCAAAACAAATTTCTCTTACTTCAATATTCACATGTCTGAGGGGGAAGTGTGGGCTTTATTCCTTTATTTTACTTTCAATTTTCTTCACTTAACTATTGAACCAGAGTGTCAATAGTGAAATCTGTGTGTCAGAGAACTTGATAAATTCAGAATAATTATTAAAAAGTAAAAAAAGAGAAACATACTTAATCTCAAAATAATATTGTAATAGAAGGGTTAACTTTGTTCATAAAATCTTATGTGTATGAGGGAATAAGGAACTTTTGTTATAATTCAACAAGATAAGTTTCATGGACATCCTGTTAATCAAGCAAGTGTCAGTAAAAATAATTGCAGACATCTTGCTAAACAAACAAGTATCAGTAAAATTTACAACTGACAAGAACTGTACCTTTCATCTCTGACAAATGCCAGATGACCAGTTAACAACGAGCCATGAACTCAAGCCTCAAAGCAATCACATTCAAAACCCGGGACTTGAAAATGTATAAAAAGGGGACATTTACTACATGGTGGTGTGTGCCTTGGCAGGGCACTAGCCCTCCAGGCCACCCAGTGCTGTTTTGCTTTATTATCGCTTGCTTAATAAATTTATCAATGTTTAATTGGAATTGAGTTGTCTAAATTCTTATATTAACTTATAACAATTTGGTGTAAAATAAACCATTATTATACCTGCAATGATGTCATCCATCTGCTCCAAAGCTGCCTCCAGCATATGACTCGCATCAGAAGCCATCATCTGGGATTTCTTCAGATCTCTACTCTTTCTACTGAAAAGACAGATGAAACCATGTGTATTACACTAAATAACCTGACAGAAAAATATGTCACTGTTACATTTTAAATAAAGCAACAGAAACAAAAGTCCATACCAGCAAAAATACAGCCCGGTAAGAAGAAAACTAACAAAAAACTGTTCCTTTTCTTGATAGATGACTTGGAACTTCTGAGGGTTTAATTCATCATGGATTCATTTTTTAAAGAGGTTTTACTAAAACAAGGAAAACAAAACCAAAAAATCCCAAATACTGGAAGCTTGAGATGCCCCTATTCCTCATCCTTAACAATGGTTTCCTGGATTCAAATTCAGTGCATCTCAACCTTTTGCTCTGTGGGAAAAAATAAGATTGACTAGGGTTCAATAAAGGAATGGAGACATTGGGAAAAACATACCTAACTATAAACAAAACTCTCCTTTTTGATTGCTGCCTTAAGAGTAAAGACAATCTGAAAGTTTTTACTCCTTTCTATATCCCTATTCAGTCTTTCCACCACTTCTTTCATGACACTGAAAATGTAATTCTTTCTGTTCAAATAACAAAAATGCCCCAGGTATGAATTACCTGAAGTTACTGCTGCCTCTTTAACAGGATTAAATACATTCATGTTACCATCTGACATTAAGGATAACAAATAAAATCTTCCAAAGTGAGTCTCTACTTGTGAGTTGGTGTTGCCGGACTCTTAGTCAAGTAGCAGTCACTGTTGTCAACATATGACATTTCAAAGGGGAAAAGAATTTATGCATCCTATTTCACTGCCAGTGAGAAAATTCCCTCTGAAATAAGGCCCTTTTGCACATCACTTCATCACTGAATCATGAGACCAGTGCCCACACAGTGAGGAACACACTTACACATGACTTTCACAGTGCTCTAACACACAACTCAAAATACCAACAAAGCCTACAAAGGGTCATAGTATTTTCTCTTCCATGAAGGATGCAATTCAGTCTTTTGACATTCAGTCTTCTGATACAACAAGTTTTAAGATCTGTGTTTAAAAACTGTTCAATTTTGACAGCTTTCTAAGCGTCACAAAAGACACCTGTCTGACAATGGATAGAGATATCTACAACCTGAGTCATTTGAAGGATAAGTGCATAGGCAATGGTCCTGTGTTTGCAGGGCCTATTTGTCCAATGCTACTGAAATGTCACTAATCTGTATTTATCACGTGATTACTTACAATAAGAAATCAAGTATTTTGAATTTAAATAAATATTAAAATAATGGCAATTTTGTATGTCAATTCACATAGATTTGTACTGTGTTCATCCAGTCACAGTTCAGGCACTGGCCACCATGGTCAGTTGCATGACTGGTAGCTAAACCACCCATTTATTCTCTCAGTTGCAGCCTGACTAAACACTAGAATGTAGAATCAGCACCCAGGATAAAGACAGCTTTAAAACAAAATCTTAGTATTTTTTTTCTTTCAGTGGGACTGTCAGGGGAAAAAAAAAACCTCTGAAAGTACACTTATGGCTGAGTCCAAATTACTGCATCAAAACCAAAGTTCAGCCTCAGTAGTAGCCTGATTCAATGAAAATTTGTACTACCAAGTCAAAATTATTTTCTTCTCTTGCAAAGTAAGAATCCTGAGACACAGACTTTTCTGTGCTGGTGAAGCATACACAAAGAAAGCTAATTTATTAGTAATTTCTGTGTTATCAGCGTCATATGTTCATTCCAGACAATGTATATAACCCCACTGTCTAGAGAGACAGATGCAGGAACGAGTCAGAAACTACAATGCTCTAATTTGAACTCTGCCATTTATAGCTTGTCATAATGGGTAAGTCATTATCTAACTTCAGATCACATTGATCTGAAGTGCAATATGAGAATGCATTATCTTTAGTGTCACCCATGGCAAAGATTAATGTAAATTAATGGTTGGTTCTGGACTCTCCATTTTTGTCAAAATAATCTTTTAAGCATGAACAATGCTAAATGTAACTGAATTTAACCAAAATACACGTCACACAAATATTTCGTTTAATGGTACTGGAAATAACAAAAACTGCACTCAGAACAGACTAGAAAGTGAGCTGATATAAACTTGAAATTTCAGAACGCTTGCACACATGAACTTTACAAACACTCCCTCTGATTCTGTTTCTCCATTTTGTTGGTTTGGGGAGATTCCATCTTCTTTTGCCACATTTACATGCCACTAAAGACTTGAGAGATCCCTGATTCTCAACTGCAGAGAGTCCCCCTGCTTGCAGTATTTCCTCTAGTTCAGAGCACCCATAACATCAGTAATAATCACCTTAGTGAAAGGAAATCCACCCACATGAGCAGCTGCCAAAGAGGCACCCTGTGCCTTTGGCAAATGTGGCCAACAGCCACTCCCCCAGAAATGTGTGGCCACCAGATGTGCTCGTAAATCAGGACAGCAGACTGGCTCAAAATCAGGAGGAAAAAGAGTAAAAAATACTAAAAATAGCATAGAGTTTCTATTTCTAGATTGCAATCAACACTCTGATTTGTGCTGTAAGCTAAGGGACTTCAAAAGGTGAGTAGATGGGTTCTTGTACTTTACTGGCATATAAATTAATCTAACAAGTCCTAGGGCTTAAAGCAGCTGCAGCATGGCTGTTGTTACAACAAGAAATGCAGGACTACCATTTTTCTGAACTTCTAATATTTTTATATCTAGTATTTGACCACTTGTAGTGACAAAGGTAAGAAAATGCTGATACACTGCATTACAAACTTGAAAATTTACTTATAGAAAAACCTTCCATCAAGACCTTGGCAAAATCCAGAAAGTTTTGCTGAAAAGCACCACCAGAAGTAAGTCTTCTATCTCCTCCCAACCTCCACAGTCAGCCCGTTTTCTCACCTGTAACCACAGTGTATTTGCTGCTTAACTGCACTAAGCTAGAGTAAAACCTGGTGATCAAGGAATGATTTATTAATAAAAGCAATGTTCTTTGCTCCACAGCGATAATGTAATATTACTTGCTTGACATCTTTTTCTAGACAGACCTGTTGCTTGTGCTTCAGGCAAGTCTTACTTTCCCAGACACTCCCTTCTTACAGTTGGACTGTTCTGAGCAATATTGTGAAAACAGCTCATTAGATCTCTGAATTTCAGTTACCATTTCTGATCTAGTTCTATACAAATATCTGCAATTGTGGATTCTTTTTCTAATACTATTAAATAATAAATAGGATCCATCTATTTGTGGTATCTTAATCACAGTTCCTTTTACAGTTTTCATTCCTGAATGACCTCAACAGACACAGAACACAAAGACTTACTTAACAATGTAAAAATATACATACATTTGGGAAAAAAAAGGTTTTTTTCAGCTTTGATAAGGACTGAACAAAAACTAGCCCTAATATTGTAGTACAAGCTTTAATATTAGCAAATTGTAACCTTAAGGATTTATTAGATTAATTTATATGCCAGTAGAATACAAGAACCCATCTACTCACCTTTTGAAGTCCCTAAGAAGAAAAGAATTTACTTTTTTGCCTGATTAGTAAAAATTCCTCACTATTAATAGCCAAAGTTTTACTATTAAGCAGGCATAAGTCTAAATTATTATCGTCCCTTCTACACCACACACTCATACTAATTTAGAGCCCAGCCCACAGATATATTGCAACCCTGTTTGTTATAATTACCTAAGTAATGAGATCTTCCAGGAAGTGCAGAGAGAGTAAACTGGCCTGAATCTCTGAAATTTATTTTGCTAAGCTAGTTTTACCCTATAAGTTCCAGTCTGAGATTTGCATTTCAAATAAAATGAAAAAGCTCTGGTAGAACCATTGTGCTTAGAGTCAATATCCCTTGCAAAGTTCTTAACCTACATTCTGTATGTAAAACTGCAGCTTACTGTGTCCAAAAAGGAACATAATATTTAACAGATGTATTCACTATGAACAAGATGTTCTTCAGAATTATGACAAGCTTTAATTAAATTTGAATCTTTCTTGACTGGCTTGAACCAGCAGCTATCCAGAGGTAAGAGTGTTAACATTTAGGTAACTCAGATGTTTTTCCAAGGTTGCTCCTAAAAATGAGGTTGTCAATATTATCAGTTATGAAAAGGCTTTTAACAAGAACTCCAGAAATCCAGATCTTTGGATTTTGTCTGTGGCCTACAAATTCCTCTGACATTTAGCAGACACAGCTAATAATTAACTACCACCACCATTTTTTTCATGGGATGAATAAATACGTGTTTGTAAACTGTTTAAATACTCAAATTCAAGTATTACAATGCCTTGTACTTAATGGTATAATGAAATAACAAGTGCCTTGGGGAAGCTTCAGAAGTCCTCCATGCTCTTCTTCAGCTGCATGATGACTCCTGCCCTGAAATGAAGAAATGTGCACAATTTCCACCCTCGCTATTTCCCACCTTGTTTCTCCCCCAGCCACATGCTCTGTTGTACCCAGACACCCCACAGGAGCACAACTGCTGATTCATGTCTCCCACTGGCTCCGCAGGACTCAGGACACCCATCAACTACAAAAGTTATAAACACAGTTTTGGATCCTGGCCTTTTAGGACCTGGCATAACTCTCTAATTAAGATAATCCTTAGTCCTAAATAACTATACACAGCTGCTAGGAGCAGAAGAATTCCTGATGATCACTAGAATGACTGCCTAAGGATCACTACTTATACAGGATGCTTCAGGGCTACCCAGCCAGAAATCCTATTCATCTGACAGGCTGAGAGAGTTGGAGCTGTTCAGTCTGGAGAAGAAAAGGCTTCAGGGAGACCTTTCAGCAGTCCTCAAGTACCTAAAGGGGCTACAAAAGAGCTGGAGAGGGACTTCTTGCAAAGGCATTTAACGACAGGACAAGGTGTAATGGCCTTAATCTGAAGAAGAGTAGGTTCAGATTAGATATTAGGAAGAAATTCTTTAATTGTGAGGGTGGTGAGGCACTGGAACAGGTTGCCCAGAGGTGCTCTGAATGCCCCATCCCTGGAAGTGTTCAAGGCCAAGCTGGATGG